GATGGAAGGAATAAGGTTCCTGAGAGAGTGGAGAAGGAAGTAGACATCTGCACACACGTGGTAGGTGGTCCTTGGACTGGTAGAGGGACCCCTCCTCCACTGTGATGGGCAGGGAGGGGGAAATGAACACGAACGCAGAAAAGGGGAGAGGAGAGTGGGCTGGAGGTTGAAGAAGTTTCTTCCTGGGAGCTTTGTTTTCTTGGGGAAGGAGGAAGTGACGTTGCTTTTAGAAGAGTGGGGTTGACACAGTCATGGTGGAGAATGGGGAGGGGACCTGACCCCTGGAAGAACCCCTGAGCCAAACAAGGACTCACTGGGGTTGAAGGTTGTGTGTATGTAAGTTTGCCCACACAGGCCCCACAGCCGTGTAGGATTTTCTTTCACAGGGCCGCACATCCTGAAGTAGGAAGAGCAATCATAAACAGCTATAAAGCAGATTGTCCAAGAGAGGAGAACTCGTGTGAGCTCTAGGAAGTGAGGTGCTCCCGAAGGTGATAAGAGGACGGCTGAGGCCGTGGGAGTGAAGGCTGAGAGGGAAGAAAGTCACTGGAGTTGAAGTGGAGCCACCACGAGGTGAAAATGTTGACTGGTAATCCAAGGGCCATCTTAGTTTCCTCACACGACACCAGGGCTCAGGACAGACACAAGACTCTCGACAAGCCGCTAACAAGTGAGTAAGGCATTTGAGAATCGTGGTGATCATCAGCAGTAAAGCGTGTGATGGCAACTAGGAGGGGCTGGGGGTGATTTTTACACAGCTCTTAAGGGTTGGTGATGTGGAGGTCTCCCACAGCCTCTTCAGGGGTAACACATCACTCTTCATCTCAGGGGTCCTGGAGGACCTCCCCATTCTCCCAAGTGTGCGGGATCACACACGCGTGCACACACACACACACCTTACTCCACTGAGAATAGATCCTCTTCTCTGCGTTAAGTACCGAATTCCCCATAAGACTTACCACAGAAAGGTTTCTGTGAGCCGGAAAACACCAACACTGATGCGGCCCAACCCTTCCCAACCCCACGATGAGCCCAAGACCATCCAGTGAGTTGATGGAGTTGCCCACAGCTGCCTCCTGCTAGGCACCATACGGTACATACTCTCCCCTAAGACAACCCTGGAGCCACTTCTTGGCGATGAGGCATCCTGGTTATGGCTGATGAGTTGAGCGCTGTTGAGATCCAGCAGGGAGCAGTGGCCCCAGAGGTGCCATGGAATTCCCTAGACACCTTTTAGGGACCGTGCAGAGAGGATGAGGAGGAAAACAAGGACGGGCATGCTGGGGGCAGTGGGGGGCCTCTGGCCAATTCCAGCCCAGCTAGGGAGGCCATGGAGATGGAGTCCCTTCTGCCTCTCACTGTGCAGGACCTTAAATCATGGAGGAGCTGATGGGTCCTGTTTATGTAGAGACTCTTTTTATAAGCTATTCAAAGCAAGGGTGGGAGGGAGAAATACGGAAAGAAAAAGTCCCTTTGAATTTCCATCGCTTTCAGAGTCAGCAGTTTAATGAGTCATGCATTCTGAATCCTTGCTTTGTCTACACGTTTTCATTTCAAAATACTAAAAACACTTTGTTTGGAACATGGGCTATTTTTAGCTCATATATCAAGAGTGCACATCCATTTCTCCCCATATTAGAAAAGCTTCCTTCAGATCGGGTTGGGGCTGCACCACGGCGGTAGGGCTGTTTACTGAGCTGTCATCTGTTGAAGCCACCTGGGCATCTCTCCACTCCTGGGGACTCCCTTCCAGCTGGTCTTCTGGGCCTACTGAGTATCCATGGACTAGACCTAGTCCAAAGTCTGGACAAAAGAGGAAGGACCCCTCCTCAGTCTTCCAGGCTGAGGAGTGAGCACCCTGGCTAGAGGCAAGTCAGGTCTTCACGACCTATGCCCTCGCAGGGATCAAAGAAATGAAGTAGAAGTGAAGGAGGTCCCCATTTGTAGGGCATGTTCTTCAGGTATGTCAAGAGAAAGTCTACCTACAACTTGGCAAAGACAGGATTAGATAGTCTGTAGGATTCTTTTATAAATTGCAGGAGGAGATCTGGGAGAAAAACTGGGACGTATAAAGGGGGTACCCTACTTCCCCAGTCCCTGCTCTCTACGTAGGATTTCTTTCCACACGGCGCTTAGTGCTGCTAGCCAGCTTTATCTACCTCATCGCTTTGGTTCCATTAGTGATTTTTTTCGGTTCCGTTAGTGAATTCTCTCCTCTGGGGACCACATTCTTTTAAATGCTCTAGCTTAGAGCATTAATAGCAAGCATGTTACCACCGCTTAAAGGATGGCCAGCCAACTTCAAGAATGGTATACCAAAGCCAATACCTCAAGGGGCTGAGTTGACAAGGTACCTACTTCTCTGGTCACTGCCTTGCTCTTCCATCCGTGTATTTATAGCGGAAGCACCCAAGGGCTTACCCTCTGATTCTCCTCCCTTGGCCTGCTGTCTTGATCGGGAGTGGACAGCAATGAGCAGAGAGGGAGCTTGGAATGGAGACCCTGCCGACTCTCCGCTGAAGCTGGCTGCCAAAATCGGCAGCTATTGGCGAGAGTGATTTTCATATGGACAGACAGACTGGAGACATGCAGACAGGCAGACAGAAGCAGCTTTCTTGGGTTTTCTGTATCACCCAGGCCTTCATTCCAGCCCTTTGAGGTCTTGGAGTCTCGGAGGCAGCCCCTCCACCCGCAACCCCTGCCTGAAGTCTTCCAAACATGTTCCTCTTCTCATTTAGGACACTTCTACCCGATTTCTGTTACTTGCAACCACAATGGCACCAGGAGGTGTGAGAATGGCCTGGGGCAGGTAGATGGGACACATCGAGGAGATGCCTCCCTGCTTTATAATTCTGTCTACTCTGCTGTATCAGGTGTGAGCACGTGGGCCACGGCCCAGCACGCTTCAGCACGTCTGGGGAGGGCCTGACACTCTGCAGGCCCCAATACGGTACTCTCCAAAGGAGGTTCGCAGCTAAGAAACAAAGGACAAGGAGACTATGTGCCTCACAAGTCATCGCTGCTGGAGACGGACATGAGGACATGTCCCCGCAGGCTGTGTTCCCTTCCCCTCCGTGCCCAGCCTTTGTGCTGAGACCTTGACAGTGGAAGCCACTCCCATGGCCACATCTCAATCTTCTCCTTCTGCCTATTGCATAAGGAAATCTTTGAGAAATGTGTGGGTGCGCCCCCAAGGAAGGAGTAAGCAAACGCATGTTTGTGGTGGGCGTGGGTGTGAATCCGTGATGGGAACCATCCTGGAGCCATAGAGACCCTCAGCCTGGGGTCCAAAAAGAATGAATGCCACCCCCCAGGGAGAAGGCATGGGAGAAGCAGATTTGCTCTGCCTGGGCTACGTAGCTGCCCCTGGAGACAGGTGTGCCTACACTGTCTAATTCATGCCCATCACAAGTCTGGCTAAAAAGTTCTAAATCCCAAAGCCACAGGAACAAATGAGGAAATATTTTTTTGTGTCCGATTATGCTGAGCAGAGGTCTGGCTCCGTCGGACTCCCTGGTTACTTCCTGCTTGACGGCTTCATAGCCGCTGGCGTAGACAACTGTCCTCTCCCTCTGTAGCGCCAGCCACACTTGCCATTTGCCACAGCCCACACGGGACATGCAGAAGTGTTTCTCTGCCCCAGTCCTGACCTTCCCTCGATGTGCCCTCCCCCCACTTTCTCAGGGCAAGCACCCAGCAGTCTATCACTTATCCCAGTCTGAGCAAAGGCCAACCGGAAATTCACCCTTGGACTGGATCATTCCTCCTCTTTGGGCTCCTCTCCTAGAAGGGGTGAGCTGGGACGGGGAGGCCCAGCCCAGATCATCCTCCCACACCTCGCCAACCCTCCTGAGCCAACCCTCCACGCCTGCCCTTCAGCATAACACGCCCTTGGCCAAGGGTCTTGTCAGCTCCCAGCTTTGATTTCCCAAACCACGAGTTGTGTTAGAGAAGGTTCTGGATAGAGTCTTACAGCATTCTGTGCTGGGCCCTGCTGTCGAGCCCCAGGGACAAACTATTGAAAATCAGGAGCTGTAGTCCCCTGAAATATTCCCACTTCCTTTTTATCCCCCGCAGCCCAACCATGAACTCATGGCTCCCACCACGGACACTTTTGGCCACTTCTGGCTGCTGGTGGCAGAGAGGGCTCGGGAGCGCATTCCAAAAAGCCTTTGGGAGACCATTTGAGAACATCGGATGATACGACTCACCTCAGACCACCTCAACGACGCCAGCATCACATACATCACAATCCCCCTCCCTGCAAAACCACCTAGAGTTGAAACTCCTCTTGAGTTTTTATATCCTTGAATGTCTCCAAGGAAAAGAAGAAGCAGACTCGAACTCCAGGAAAACTGTGGCTTAGAGCACATAAAGCCCCTCGCCCTTGAACTGACCTCCTCACCTGTAAGTGGGGAGAGGCAGGTAGGCCGGTGGTTACAAATGTATGTTTTGGATTCAGAGACATTTGGGTGGGAATCCTGGCTTTACCTTTGTCTGTGCCGTCTGGAGCAAGTTGCTGAGTGTCTGTCTTTCTCCTGTAAAAATGGGGTTAATAATCCTCCTCTGGGGTTACCATGAGGATTCACTGAGATTGTCTTTGCCAGGCTTCCGCTCCCACCCAGCCCCAGGGTACGCACTCTGTAAGTGACCTCTGTTTCTGCTTGTCCTGACGAGCACCCTCCAACCTAATCGGTCCTGAGAAGGGCAGTTTTCAAACCCCTCCCCTTGCCCCATCCACACGTCTCAGATACAGTCAATGGGAACCCGTCAGGCTCAAGGGAAATGGTACGATCTCTGTACCCAGCTGGGACACCCATCCTCCCAGGACCCCTCCCTGAGGGGTGGAGCGCCCTCTCCCTGCCCACACTGGGACACTCAGCAGCAGCAAATGCTCCCATCCCCGCACCACCCCCTACCTGAGGGCTGAAAACAATCAAGTCCTGAGCAAACACTCGAGAAAGCGCTTTCTCCGGGGGGTTTGGGGGAAGAAGACTTGCCAAGTGGGGAAGTCGGGGGCCTGGCTCCTCGGTGGCTCCTCTCCCCCTCCGGGGGCTCCTCTGCCCCCCTTTTCCTCATTCTCAGGCTTCCCCTCTCCAGGTTGCTCAGGCAGCCGCATCGGAGGTCCAGAGCGATGTTCTCAGAGAGGTTTGTGAGCCCATCAAGGGAAGGTCGGCGGAGACGCACGCTCTGCAAGGAGTTGACAGAAACTTACTGCCGGCACCTGCTGCTGCGTTATTTACTCAAGTCAGCCGCCTCGGTGGTCCGCACCCTCCCTTCCGTGCTGAGACAGGACAGTGGCACAAGATGAGTCATTACAGTCATGACAGATGTTTAGTTATGAACAAGGCCTCAACGTCACCCAAGGGCAGTACACAACCTACCGATAATGTGTTTTGGGAACCAACCAACCTTAATATTTACAGGTACTTTTCCGTTCACACTCCCAAGGGCTTTGCTGTAATAGAAGCCGCGTGGAGAGCCATAGACCCTCCAACACGACTGCACCTTGCAAGAAAGCCCAGCACCTTGCCAGCACGATCTGTTGCCTTGCTGTCGACATCAGCAGAGCCACAGAAACAAATGGGGCCGGAAGTTAGAAATAGCCGTCCCAGGGAGAGGATTCTTGCCAAGCCCGTGACGTTGCTCACAGTCCCGGGGCAACGTCCTTCCATCTTCCTTGGACAAAACAAGGGGCACCCAAGATTAGCATCCCTTTACTGACGGAAGCTGCCGTCAGGCTTGCTTCCCACGTGTACGGAGCCTCTGGGCTCCCTCCTGTCCTCATCTCTCTTCTTTCTCCAGCACCTGGTTAATCCCTACTCGCCCTTTACATCTAGGCTCGGGTGAGGGCACCTGGCGGGCTGAAGGCACCCTTCAGCTGCGCCCACTTCTGCGGTTGTCCAAATGTTTTCCCTGTCTCCTGGCGACCCCACGTTGAGAGAAGCTCCAGGCAGGGGTCCTTCAGATGTACATTGTGTCCTGTGGGCCACGCAGGGACAACCTTAAAATAACTGCTGTGAAACAAACACTTATTGAACTAACATTTAATCGATATTGGCTCTCTTTGGTTCCATATTGAAGTTAAAAGGAAATTAAAACAAAGAGGCTCAAGAGATGCGAGGTACGGAGAGTTTAACTGGGAGAACCTTGGTGATGAACCAAGCAAGCTCTGGTCACCCTGCACGAGCCATTGTCTGAAAGAGCCGGCCTGGGGGCGGGTCTGCCCAGTACAGCAGGCGCTGGCCTCTCCTGGCAAAGACGGATGAGTCTCCATTCCTCACTTGGCATCTGCACAGCGCCTCCTGGGAAAGGCTCCCTGCTCTAGAGCAGCCTTCTGATTCTGCTGAGAGCTGTCCCTCCAGGTCCAGGAAGCATCCCCTGCAGAAGCCAGCCCAGAGGAGATGAGGCTCAGAAAATGCCTTTAAGAGACACAAAGCCTTGAAGAAGAGTGTGTGGATGTTATCACTGTTGTAAAGGATGGTTTTAAATCTGTTGCATGGTAGGCATTGAATGTTAGCCCCATCCCTGCTCCGTGAGACAGGCTCTGCCCTATGCCCAAGGTAGGTCAGCTCCTGGAATGATGAATGACAGTCCTGTTAACTGACTATGTGCTTATGTGCTTGCAACTTCCACCTGGACCGGAAACCTGCATAATCTAGGTCAGTCTAGACCATCTGGACGATGGTCTCTGGATAATCCTGACATAAGATCTGTGGTTCTCTGAGGGTTGTGGCATGTGACTTGGACTCTCCCCCAAAAGTGAGGCTCTATTTTGTGTGACTGGGCTGGAAATCCCCAAAGGTTGGGGCCGCAGAGACCCCCTACAAAGAGACATCCTATAACGGTCTCTGTGTAATCTCAGATCCACACCCAGCCCCTATCCTCAAACCCACACACAACAAGGAGGACTCATCCCACAGCCACACAGCCGTACGCACTGCCCCATCGACATGAGCACCCAGAGGCACCCTCCCACACATATGCACACAACTCAGGTTCACACACGCTAGAGCCCCTACTTGCCCGCACGTGCTGCACACACATCTAAACTCTTTGTCACCTTCTGTTGTCATGTTAAGTTAAAAAGGAAAAACAAGTTTCCTGGGTCATTACAGTAGAAATGCAAAAGAAAAGTGACCTATTATTTTAGTGGTCATGAAAGGCCTAGCACCATCAACGTTGTGACTGGTAGCAAACGCCGATTTTGAAAGAGAGCGAGCACCCCCATATACAAGAACTTCTGGATGTGTTGAGTCGCCTCCCTCATCAGTCCCCTCCAGGTGGAGTGGGCGCCAGGGCAGGGACACCCTCCAGTGCTACTCTGGAAGCCAAGACCACCATAAGGCCTGCCAGGAGCTCTCAGTAGAGGATGTCCATGCTGATGGTCACAAGGGCATTAGAACCCATCCACTTAATTACTTGGAACTTGCTCACAGCTGGACAGGAGTCCTGGGCCCTGGGGGTGGCAGCTTCCCACAAGGAACGATTTCTCCTGCTGCTCAGTTGGCCTCTGGTGCCCTTCCCTGCGGCACTCATGCTGTGCCAGAGAAACACAAAGCCAGGGGCTGGTGCCTCAGCCAGAAAGGGACTCGGTTGGTCCAGCCAGAAGCCATCTCATCAGAATGCTCCTCTCCAGGTCATAGCTGGCCTGATGCACCATGGGGAACACCAAGAGGCCCTCCACAGGGTGGGACTGATGGCCCAGGGCCAACTAATGAGACACTTTAAGTTGGCATCTGCATAGAAGACGGACCCGTGTCTTCCCATCTCACTAGGAGCTTCTCAAAGACAAGAGCCATGCTGCGTGCCCTCCCAAGTCCCCAGTGGCCATATGCACCCTGGGACCCACCGTAAGTACCTACTGAAAATAACTCTTTGTTCCCAGATTAACTGCTTACCTCATTTCCTCAAGAAAGTCCTAAGGACAATTAATTTCTAGAATGTCTCCTTCATGCATTTGCCAGTTATCTTTATTATCACCCGAAAGGTCAGCCAGAAGCTGGTTTTTGAGCCCAAGTTTTGAAGTTAGAGCTCTGGGCTCCTTCCTGGACCCACATCTGTGTCCTCTTCAGCTTTTCATGTCACCGATGACCCAGCTGACACAGCCACTTCCTTTAACACCTAAAGCATTCCTGAGCACTGGTCCCTCACTGGGAGGCACTCTGGGCACTCACGGGCTCCATCGGCTCCCTCTTTTATCAACCCATGATATGCAGGGACTGGGAGTCGTGATGTGTTTAAGAACATGCCTAAGTGAGTCCAACCATGCAGTTCAAGTCTTGGCTTTGCCGCTTGTGGGCTGTGTGGCTGTGGACAAGTGTCTTGACCTCTCTGTGCTTCCCTTCCTTCACCAGCAAAATGGACCTCATAATATCAGCAGCTACTGCCTAGGGCCGTTGTAAGTGCCTGGCATGGGGTAAGCACTCCACATGCCAGCCATCATGATTAATTCCTTCCCTTCGCACCTAACAGGCAGTGGCCGAACCACTCTGTTTAGGTGGGTGTTGGGCTGAACCCACAGTGGGACAGGGGCGACAGTGGCACAGAAGTGAACGCACCACAAGACACAGCCTCACAGGACCCAGAATCAAGATGGGGCACAGACACAAGCACAGGCCAAAGGAGGTTCTCTTGTCACTCCGGTTCAAAGAATCAGGTTGTCCTAGAGAGTGTCTGGGAGGGGAGGTGTGGACTCCGCCCTCCAGTCCCACCATTTAGGAACATGATGGGTCCCCGTGCCTGCCTCTGAGGAAGGGAGGGACAGGGAAGCAGTCTGCATGAACGGGCCACCTTGTCATCCCAGCATCTGGGTCTCCTATGATCTATTTGGGTACGTGGGTCACAGGCAAACTCAGTCCTTCGTGGATTTTGGTCCCTTTTGGAATATCTAAAAATTGCAATACCTGTGGGAGTAAGGTGTGGCTGAGAATCTAGTGTTTACCACTGGAGTGTCCAAGCCTGCATCTGTTTGACATAAATAATTCATACATATGGGGCGAGTGGTTCTATTTCATTGCTAGGACAGCCAAATAATTCCCAGACTGATTATCCAGACTAAGACCCACTTCAAGTGTCCACCAAGAATGCTCCTGCCACTCTGACCACCTCGGGCATCGAGTTAGAGGCTTTACGTCTCGTAGCCCCAGCCCCAGGAACGTTATAATCCTGACCGTATGCTCCATAATGTTTGAAGAGGGCTTTGCACGTGGGTCTTTCTCTCAAAACCCTCCACACATGTGTCATCAAATTGATCCACAAATAAAATGTATTTTTATTGGAATACCCTCCAGGTTCATCCCTGTTGTAACAAATGGCAGGATTTCCTTCCTTTTTGGCAGATTAATATTCCAACGACTGTGTGTGTGTGTGTGTGTGTGTGTGAGAGAGAGAGTTGTGTATATATATCACATTTTCTTTTTTGACTCACTTGTTGATAGACACTGGGTTGTTTCCGTATCTTGGCTACTGTGAATAACCCTACAACAAACATGAAAGTATGAGAGTCTCTTTGATGGTGACTTATTTCCTTTGAATATGCACCCAGAAGTGGGATTCCTGGATCTTATGGAAATTCTATTCTTAACTGCTTGCGGAAGTGCCATGTTTTCTGTAGTGGTTGTACCAACTGACAATCTCACCAAGAGTGCCCAAGTGTTCCCTTAATATAATCCTGTTTGGACGGTGCCTCTGGATGAAGTGTTGAGTCGAGTGGGTCATGCCATGTGGTGGTTAGTGGGTACCATGGCTGAGAGCAAGAAGTCAGGGTGTAGTTTGAGCTCCAACCAGCGCCAAAGCTAAGTACTGCGTTTACTAGAACCCGTGAGCACTAGAGCTCCTTCTGCAAGAGAGATGTTGTCAGAGAGGAAAACGCTGCTCAAAGTGCTGCTGAGCAACAAATCCTGACCATCGTGCTCGTGTTTATTGACTCTGAGACTGTCCTGCAGAAGTGACTGCTCCCCATCACTTAAAATATTTTAATACCAAGGAATATTCAAAAGCACAAATAAAAGAAAAAAATAAATAAACTGCTGGTCTGCATGTAGGAAATGTCCACTGAGTGCCTGAAAAATACAAAAGCGCAGGCTAAACGCTCCCTTAAATGTACTGTAAAAGTGA